ATATGTCTCTCATGAAGAATATTAATGTTATAAAATTGACAAAACAATATTTAAAATGGTGGGAACAATCCCAAGAGTGAGAGGAATAAGGATCAAAAGTCCTTGACACATCAAAAGCAAATAAAAATTAAATTTGGAAGCGGAGGAAGCAAGAATTCCACTTGTTCATGATATTACAAAGTTATATGGCACTGTTTAAAAGTGACAGCACTTGTTCTTGGAGATGTCTACACTTTTCAAGAGTTCATATCAATCTAAGACATTCTTATTGAATGAGTATGATGACTAAAAATAATAGGATGTCATCAAGTGCTCATAAAGAAGTCTATATGATAGTAGACTTCTTGTCATAAAATGTAGACATGGAAACAATCAATTCTTAAATGAGGTGATCACCATAATCTTCGCAAGGTTTTGTGTGAATTAACTTCATGAATCCTTGATTAAAAGGATTAGGTTTAATACCCTTTTTGGTCCCTCTACTATAGGAAAAAGCCCTTTTTTGGTCCGTATACTGAAAAAATTCCCTTTTTGGTCCTTACTGTTCACAAATCCGGTCCCTTTTTAGTCCTTCCATTAAATTTTGGGTGATGTGGCAAGTTAATTAACAGAAACACTCATTCTTTTTTTTAACTAAATTACGTGGAAAATCCACGTGGCAAAAATTGATGACATGTTAAATTTTTTACCTTTAATTACTGATATACCCTCATCTTCTTCCCCGGCTTCTCCTTCCTCCAGCCTTTCTTTTTTCTTTTTTTTTCTTTTGCCTCCAGGCAAACCGAGCTTGCGTGTTCACGAGGAACCCAGCTCGCGGGGTTTGCTCCGTCCATGAAATCGTCAAGGCTTTCCTAGCCACTATAGTTTTGTTTTTTTATCTTCCTTGTGAAATCAAGTTAAATGTAACAGATTCGATGATATTTCTTCATCGTTTCTGGAATTTCTTTTGATCTTCTGTTTTTTTCATTTTTTTTTTCTTTGTAGTTATATTGTGATTTCCAGTGATTGTGTTTTGCATTTGCAGATATGCATTGGATGTGAAAATAGAGAGGCCAGAAGATGTTCTAATGCACAAGAGATTTCTTTTAACTCCAGGCGAACCCAAGAGCCTGGGTTCACGAAAAGGACGTTTTACCGAATCGCAGTGACGGACAAGCTCTGTGTGTCACTCACCGTCCCCACACTTGTGGCTATCGATTTTGGATCTGCAACATCAAAATCGATCTCACCGTCCCTTTCTAGTGATCATCTCGACGGAGGAGGAGCCTGACGGCAGCAAAAAAAAAAAAAAATTTAAATCTTAAAAAGATGCTCAAAGAGTGGGGAAAAGAATCAACCTCATGAGTCATGACTAAAGCAAGATCCTCACCATCAGATCTATCTGGAACTTCTCTTCCCGTTGCCTCTCACCTTCAGACGATTTCCTGAAAAACCAAAAATCAATCAAGCGCAATTTCAGAACTGCCATCACCGGATTTAATCGGAGACTGTAAAAATAGAAGAAGAAGAACCGCGATTGATACCTGTTGACTCAATGTACTCCAAGAGGGGGGGTGAATTGGAGTTGGAGAATTTTCGCCTCTTTGCAACCACCGAACAAAAATTAAAGAGAGAGTTGAGAAGAAGAGATTGCACAATGATTTTATAGAGGTTCGATCCAACCACTTGGAACCTAGTCCTCTACCTTGGCTTCACTCACCAAGGGTTTCCTCCACACTCTCCACTAGCAAAAACAATGGTGGCTTAAAGGAGCCACTCAATCCTTTACAACAAGAAGGGTTTCTCTCAAATCTCACCCCTTTACACTTTAACCCCAAAGATCCTCTCTTCAGATCACTCTTGAAGGAATCAACACATCCCCAAGATCACTCACTAATAGCACAAGAAGTGGATTACAAACAAAGATCTCTCAAAGATCAAAATCTCAAGTTAAAGCACAAGTTGGTAGTAAAGATATTCAATACAATACTCTCTAAAACTTCTTCAGATCTGTTACCAACCATATTTATAGCCCCTTGCTCGAAAATAGCAGTTTCTAGCCGTTGGGGGTCATTAAATGCCCTGCAGGACGCGAAGCTTGAGTTGCAGGATTGTCAGGAGAGCCAGCTTAAACTTCCAGAGCCGGCTTTGCGGGATTCCTGCACATTCTGTTTTCCTCGAGAGCCGGCTGCAAAAATTTGAGCCGGCTTTGGAATTCCGACTTTAAATACATTAAATATTCTTCAAAAGAGTCGACCGTTGTGCATTAAATGCACCCTCACAGCCGGTTGCAAAGCCAGAGCCGGCTTTGCATCTTTTCCCCATGCGCGCCAAACAACGGTCTTCCAATTTTTGCCTGTAGAGCCGGCTGCAACTTCTAAAGCCGGCTCTCTGCACTTCCATTTCACCAGAGCCGGCTGCACTTTACCAGAGCCGGCTCTCTGCACATTGAATCCTTTTGGTCTATTTTTAGTGCCATCCAAGTTTACTTGCAATCTTTTAGCAACTTAACTACACACTTAAATAAATCAATTAGTCACTCAAATATGTTTTGTAATCATCAAAATCATAGGTACAACAATACCCACGTCTTTGTCACGGTCAATTTCTCACGCTCATCATCCAATCTGAGCACAGTGGGAGGATTAGGAGGAGAAGGTGAAGATTCCTTCTTGGGTGATTGAGACTCATCTTTTCCCCACTCACCTCGCGAGGAACCCACGATCTGATTTTCAAAAGGCAAAGCTGAAAAGAAAAGAAAAAAAAAAAAGGAAGGCCGGAGGAAGGAGAGGATGAGACAAAAGGGGGAAGATGGTGAGGGTAAATTAGTAATTAAAGTCTCTTTAAACAAAAAATTTTGCCATGTCATCAATTTTTACCAAATGGATTTTCCATGTAATTTCGTAAAAAAAAAAAAAAGTGTTTTCGTTAATTAACCTGCCACATCAGCCAAAATTTAACGAAATGACTAAAAAGGGGTCGGATTTGTGAACAGTAAGGACCAAAAAAAGGGATTTTTTCGGTACAGAGACTAAAAATGGGCTTTTTTCTATAGTAGAGGGACCAAAAAGGGTATTTAACCAAAGGATTATCAAAAGGAAAATTTACAAGAGAAAGAGAAGGATGGGTCTCAAGTCCATATTGACAAAAGTCACACATGATGGAACCTCGACTTGATGCTTGAAAAACATCAAGTCTTAAGTTCAATGAGCAAAGTACATTATATGAATGTGATTGCAAGTACTCAATTTATAAATAATACCATCTTAAGTGGAAGAGTACTAGGTAACCGTATGAAATAAATAGGAGGTTGAGTTTTACTCTTAATAGGTCTTACAATAGATTTCTGTTAAAGTGCTTAATGTGGTGGCACTTTTGATGGAATCTACCTATGTGAATGGAAGTGGTGCCACTTCTAGGAGTTAGGGGCTTGACTCTAACAGTACTCATGAAAAGGATACAAGACACATGGCTAGTTTTTGTGTCGATGATGCTAAATTTTTCTTTTGAAAGCTTGAAGTATTGTGCGTGACATGTGCCCAATTAGTCACTTAGAATTGTTGGTTCAAAGCATTGGTCTACCATTCAATTTAGAGTAACTTGCCAACACATGTTCACTAAGTGAAAGGTTCAAATTGTAATATATCTTCATGTATGTCTAAGATTTCCAAAACAATTAGTGAGTTGTTCTATTTTGAAAATGGTGAGGGAATGTTGAAGAATTTTCAAAATAGTTCTGAGATTTGGGTTTAAACCACAAAAAGTTATTTCAAAGCAATTTGCACAGAATGCATTTGAGAAAATATGATTTGAACAGTTTACATAAAATCAGAATTTGAAAAGTAAAATTTTGATTTAAACCACATTTATATGGTTCAAACCATTTACGTAAGAAATAAAAAATAGAATTCTGATAAATTTCTCAAGGAAGAGTGGATAACTTTGGAAGGCAAGGAAACACATGAGTTGGAATTCAAGTCAAACCAAATGACTTTTGAAAGAGTTTCCAACATATAGATTTAATGAAAATTCAGATTTTTTCAGTTAATAGACTAAAAAGGAGTGCATGTTCCCAACAGACATCTTGCCCCTATAAATATGGAGTTATCTCGTCCTCTTCTTAGTCTCTTGAACACAGAAACAAATCCCTACTATTATATAAATAAAATACCTCCTTTTTGTATTGCAATTGTTGCAAAAATCCCTATACAAAAACTATTATTTTGTCATTTTCTAAAGGACAATTCAGTGGTTGATCTTGCCTGATATTACTAACGCAGAGGCAAGATCAACAAGGCACTTCATTGTATCCTATGGATATTTCAGTTTACCCTTTTTGCATATCAAATTTGCTGGGGGTGAAATTAACATAAAGAAAAGTGGTATTTGCAACATGCCTTGAAGTTAATGATCTATTTTTTAACCCTCAATTTCCAACAATACTTCATATTCTAGTCAACTTTACTTTAATTGTTATTCTTTTAATTATTTTTAATTAAAAAATTATTTTTTTATTGTTTAAATAAATTTAAAATTAATTATTTTTAATACATAATTAATTAATAATTCTTATAACTTTAATATTTTACTTATCATTATATTATTAAAAGTAACTAATGCACTTTTCATTATATTATTAAGAGTGAGTAATGCAATTACTAATGAATTTTAGCACATCAGATGTGTAGTACTCATGTAGCTCAAAAGCCATTTTCAATTTAAGAATAAACCATACTGAAAACCGCACCTGAAGTAACAAGTCTTGGAGACTTTTTTTTTTTTGTTAACAGACGCAAATTTGGATAACCCCAAATTTGTAAAAGATTACCTATTTTTACCTTTCTAAAGTTCGCAGCACCACAACATGTATGACAATAATCCCCTTTGATAGTATGCCAAATGATACTTTGTATTGGCCAATTGTGTTGTTGTTATTTAAAATTTTCCCAACACTTATTAGTTTGACATTATTGGCTGATTTGGGTGTAATTTTTTTGTCTAAAACAGATCAAAATATTTAAATCCAATGTTTGTAGAAAGAAAACATGTAGGAATATATTATTCAAAAAGTTTTAGTGTAAATTTATTTTATTTTTTCATTTTAGTTTTTGTGCTCTGTGAAATTTTTTTGGACAAAAATCTTTTTTTGGTCAAATTTATATATAAAAATATGAAAAAAATTACTAGATATAATCAAAATTTAAAAACTTTTAATGACAAAAAGTGAGGAATAATGGCATATTTCGATTGTTTTAGTTAATTAACTAAATTATCCAAATAATTTAAGATAACCAAAATTATAACCAAATTAAAATTTTGGTTTGAATTGGGTATAAAAGTCTTATCCCAAATTATTTTAGAAAACTGAAAATTTGATTTAATTTAGATAATCCAAACTAAATACCCAATCGTACTTTGTTTGACTCTATACGATTATTGTGACATATAAATTAATGGATTCTTTATGATTTCTTTTATTGTATTCTTTAAAGAAAATAAATGTAATTAACACAATTAAAAAATAAATCCATTAATCAATACATGATATTCCTTTTCAAGAATTACTTTTCTTTTATTTATAATTTTTTTTATGATTAGGGTATTTCAAAGTCAATTTTTGTATACCTTCAAATTAATCTTTTAATAAACAATCTTTTAATAAACAATCTTAAAAACATAACTTCCACATTGGTAAAAATAAATTGTTTATGTATGATTTTCATAAGGCTAGGGGGAGATTTAGGTTGATAACATGTGATGCGGAATTTGTGATTCCCACAATTGAAATTCATCAAAAAAATAATAAATTAATGGATGGGTAGAGGTTAATGGTAAAAAAATTTTGTTACATGATAGTTAGGAATGGTGTGTGTTAGATGTTAGGTGAGGGAGGTAACTAGTATGAAAATTGAAAGTAGAGGAAGCACAATAGTATGTTTTGAGAGAGCAGAGAGAGGTCTTTAAATGATTTCCAAGTATAGGGAGGGAAATGAATGAAAAACGAAAGTAGAGGGACTAAAGTTGGCTCTAACCCAATAAAAAAAGGGGGGGCCGGGGGCGGGGGGCGGGAAGTGGCGTTTTCGCCACCGTTTTTGTCCAGCATGAAAAATAATTGCCAAAGTCATGAAAATGGATGGGATAATGATTGTCCAATCAGCCAAGATGTTAATGGGATGGAATGAAGATGAATGTTAATGGGACCTAACGAAAGAGATGGAATTATTAACTTTTGATAACCTTATCAGTTAAATTTAAGTTAATCTATTTTAATTTAAATGTAATAAAATTGATCTTATTCAATTGAAAAGTAAAAAAAGTGATTTATTTTAGTAAAAAAATGTTCAAATATGATTTCATTCCAATAATTAATAGAAGTAAAAGGTAAATACATTCTTTGGCCTTTTCACTAAGAATCAAATTAAGTAATTCTTACGCGTAACACAAGAAAAAAGTTCTTTTTCAACTCTTTCTATTTTGTAATAATATGGTAAATATATTTTTATTTAAAATTTTTTAAAATAACAATTTATTTTTAAAAAAAAGGTTATTTATATATAAATTTT